TCTCTCTCTCTCTCTCTCTCTCCCTCCCTCTGCCCCTCTCCCCAGCTCATGTGTGTACACACTCTTTCTCTCTGTCTACAAGAAAACAATTTTCAGGCTCTGTGCTCACAGCACAGAGATTCTCTCTCTTGGCCCCTCCCCCGCTTGCTCTCTATCCCTCTCTCAAAATAAATAAAAATAAACTTTAAAAGAAAAAGATTTTTAATTAAAAAATAAAATAAAAATAAAAATATATGTATTGATTTAGGGGTGCCTGGCTGGCTTAGTCAGTGGAGCATGAGACTCTTGATCTCGGGGTTGTGTGAGCCCCATGCTGGGTGTGGAGATTACTTAAAAAATAAAATCTTAAAAATATATTTATATGTATTGACTAAAAAAATACATATATGTAATAAAAATGTCAAACAAGAAATTCTCCCACCCCATCTCATTCCTACCTTCAGTATCTTTCCCAGAAGTAACCACCATAAACGTTTTCTAAAAATTATCTATATATGTACGTGGTTTCTTATTTACATAGAAGAGGGAAGTATGGATTCTGAAGGGCCTTGAATGCCTGGTCAAGGAGCTTGGATTTTCATCGTGTTGACATCAATGAACCATGATAGTATTTTAAACAGGAAAGTATAACACTTAGTTTTCAATATTATCCCACAGACTTTTAAAGTGGTTATCCTCCTAGTGCATAGTAGGAGGTGCTCACAAAATATTTATTGAATGAATGAACTTTTTAAAACACATTGTACATACAGCAAGGGTATTAAGGCCAAGGTACCAGGTTATTTTTTTACTGTTCACAAACACCCAGGACCTATAGGCCATTTAGAGAACTGGTTTCAAGGCTAATATGACCCAAAGGAGGAAAACTATGGGATGGAAGAGGGCCTCAGCCCTGGCCAACGTGGAAGGGGGATAGAAGTAACTAGAGGGTGCCTGGTAGAATCATCTCATGGAATCCTTATGCCCATTTTGGCCAGTTAGGGGTTAGCTCCATTATTAGGTGAGGAAAGTGAGGCTTGTGGCTTGAAGGGACTTACTCATAGTAAGCCAGCAAGTAGTAGTTTGCTCCACTCTTATAGTCAGTCCTCAGATTCATTCTCCAGATAGCCAGAGGAATCTTTTTAAAACACAAAACAGATGTCTTCAGTTCTTGCTTAAAACTCTGCAATGGCCTCCCATGGTTCTTAGGATTAAATCGAAGCTTCTCACTAGGCCCACAAGACCCAGTGCACCTGGCCTAGCCTCCACCATACCACTCTTTCCCCTTGCTCGTTACATCAGAGCCACTCAGGCCTTGGTTACTTTTTTCTAATGCACCAAGCTTATTCCTACCTTAGGGCCTTTGTGCCTGCTGCTCCTTTCTAGAACACTCCACACACTCACCCCTTGCTCTACATATGATGGCTAGCTCCTTCTCATCCCTTAGTTCTCAGCTTAAAAGTCACCTCCCCTGAGAAGCCTTGCCTGATTTCCCCAGCTAAGCAACCTTCAACGTGCACCATTATTCTCTATCATTTCATCCTTCATAGCACTTGCCACAAGTTGTGATGATATACTCCTTTGTTTGTTTATTTTCTTTTCTTTCACTGGTCTGTGAACTCCATGAGGGCAGAAACTGTTTATTCTTTTCCCCTGTATTGAGCAGAGGGCCAGACCCATAGCAGGCCCTCCATATTTGTTGAGTGAGTGAATGGGTAAGCCAAGCAAGGTTGGAAGCCAGGGCCTGTTCATTCAGTTTATATAGCTACCTCCTTGCACAGAAAGCTGGCCCCAGCTGGGGCAGGATCTAGTTTCCAGGGAGGGCTCAAACCCCTTGCACTCCAGGAAGTATTCTTTGCCCTAGGCCCTGGGTCCTGGGTCCTGGGTCCTGGGTCTCGGTCCTGGGTCCCTGGGTGGGTCTCGGTTCCCAGGAAGTTTCGCCTAGGGGCCAGACATCCAGCTTCCTGCTGCCTAGATGGGGGTCCCTGTCTTTCCAGCCGGGGCTGCCGCTTCCCCCTTTTGGGGTGCATTGGGGAGATGCTAAAAAGGGCGAGCAGTGCCGTCTAGTGGGGTTTGCTTGACAGGGGCGGGGAGAGGGTCATGCAGAATAGCCCCGCCCTCCAGGCGGGCAGGGCCAGGTAAGAGGTGCCCAGACCTACCCGGCTGCCACCCCACAGACCCGGACTCCTTCCTGAAGTCTGCGCGGCTGCAGCGGCTGCCTTCGACGTCTTCGGAGATGGGCAGCCAGGACGGGTCGCCGCTGCGGGAGACACGCAAGGACCCGTTCTCTGCGGCAGCGGCCGAGTGCTCCTGCCGCCAGGACGGGCTCACAGTCATCGTCACGGCCTGCCTCACTTTTGCCACGGGTGTCACTGTGGCGCTTGTCATGCAGATTTACTTCGGGGACCCTCAGGTGAGGGGGTTGCGTGAGGGCCAGAGGGAGGGAACCGAAGAGGAGGGAGTGAGGAAGTTCTTGAGGAGACCGTGGGGATTGCGGAATGGCTGAGTGAAGGAGGAGGTCAGCAAATGGAAAGGGGAGAGGACAGTGACATGGAAGAGGAAGGTCCCAAAGGGAGGGGCTCAAGGTATGAGGAGGACAGAGCCAGGAAGGCACCTGATCAGGTGAGAGGTACTGGAGGCCATAATGGAAAGAGTCCTAGGGGACAAGAAGGCAGGCCTCGCACCCCCAGCCCCTGCGGAGATTCTGGGGTTGGTGGAGGTGCCTTAAGGGGGCAGGGGTCTCCTACTGCCCCCACCTAGAACCCTTTCCCTTCCCAGATCTTTCACCAGGGTGCCGTGGTGACTGATGCTGCCCATTGCACATCGCTGGGCATCGAGGTGCTCAGTAAACAGGGATCTTCCGTGGATGCCGCTGTGGCAGCAGCCCTGTGTTTGGGGATCGTGGCTCCACACAGTTCTGGCCTGGGCGGGTAAGGAGCTCCCAGATGTGGAGGTTGGGTTCCCCCAGGCCTCCTTCTGTGTCCTGGTCTGTAGGCCTCACTAGGGGGTCTTTGGGTTTCACTAGAGGGGCAGCTAGGCCCCAACTCCTTGCATTTTGCCTTTCTACATCCAATTTTACCCTTCTCCTTACCTGAGTCAGAGGAGGCATTTTCAGAAGAGTTTTGTTTTGTTTTTGTTTTGTTTTGTTGTGTTTTACTTTGTTGTAACTAGACTTTTGTAAACTACTCTGGTGGGGGTATACTGTCACTAGTTAACACAGGGATACTTTAATTTTCGGGTTTACAAATCCTTAAAACAAATCCCTGTGAGCATGGTTAAGCTATGGAACCTCTATCTTCCAAAAATATACCCCAGGCTGAGAACTCTTAAAGTTTATTTATTTTGAGAGAGAGAAAGAGAGAGAGCAGGGAGGGGCAGAGAGAGAGGGAGAGTGAGAGAATCCCAAGCTGGCTCCCCCTCTGTCAGGACAAACCCATGTGGGGCTGGAATCTACAAACCAAACCATGAGGTCATGATCTGACCAGAAATTAAGAGTATGAAGCTTAATCACCTGAGCAACCCAAGTCCCCAGGCTAAGAATTCTTAAAACAAAGATTACAAACTGGCCACCTATGGGCCATACCAACACACAGACTAGTTTGTTTTCCACACTTAAATTTTTATTTTTTTTAATGTTTATTTATTTATTTTGAGAGAGAGAGAGTGGGGGAGGGGGCAGAGAGACGGAGAGAGAGAATCCCAAGCAGGCACAGAGCCCAACACAGGGATGGAACCCACAAACTAAGAGATTATGACCTAAGCCAAAATTGAGGGTCGGATACTCAACTGACTGAGCTACCCAAGCATCTCCCACACTTAAAGTTTTTAAAATTTGTTTGCTATTGTTCAGGGCACCTGGGTGGCTCAGTTGGTTAAGCATCCAACTTCAGCTCAGGTCATGATCTTACGGTTCATGAGTTTGAGCCCCATGTCAGGCTCTGTGCTGACAGCTCAGAGCCTGAAGCCTGCTTCTGGTTTTGCGTCTCCCTCTGTCTCTGCCCCTCCCCCACTCACGCTCAGTCTCCGTCTCTCTCTCTCTCTCAAAAATAAACATTGAAAAAAATTATTTTTTAATTTGCTTGCTATTGTTAAAAAGTTGAGAATTTTCATAAAAACCCATATTTCCAACATCTCTTTAACAATCAGGAGCCTCGGTAACACTGGGCCCACATTCCCACATGGCTACAATTGTCTGGAGCTAAATAGCATGACGGGGCTTGTGCTTTCTACTTGGCCATAATTCCTGCCACTCCCTATTGTTTATCTCTCTTGCTTTCTTTATTATGTTACTTGGCTGCAGGCCAACCATCTCAGATGCAACTTCCATCTCAGATGGAAACAAGTCACAGAAAAGGGACAAGCTGACAAAGTCCATATCTTGGCTCCTGCAAGACCAGCCCTGCAGGCCCTACCAAAGAAATTCCCCTTTTGGTTGTATACAGTCTATCCTTACATAATTCAGTCCTGGAAGAGGGAGCAGAGGCATACCATGGAGGCAGGTGCAGGAAGCTGGCAGGGGTCCAGCTATGGTCTAGGGTGGGGGCAAGGGGTAGAACATCTTGCTCTTCCAGTCTCTAGGGTTTCCCTAATCAGGGATTAAAGTCTCCAGTAACAGGCTAGACGAGGTCCATGGTTTCTGGGTCCCCAATCCCCTTGATTTCACTCCCCCACCCTCTTACAGAAGCTGAGTCTTTGAATCCCTGCTGGGGAGAGGGCTCAGACATCTGACTCCAGATGACAGATTTAGCCTACAGATTTAGCCATCACCACTGGGGGTTGAAGGGTGGCAGGTTAATTGTTTAGAGGGGTAGCATCTTATCAACCTCCCCCTTTTGTGCCTCTCCCAGTGGCGGCGTGATGCTGGTACATGACATCCGACGAAATGAGAGCCACCTAATTGACTTCCGGGAGTCTGCACCAGGGGCCCTCAGGGAAGAGGCCCTGCAGAGATCCTGGGAAACCAAGGTGGGGATGCTGGTGAGAAGAGAGAGTCCGGGGGTGTCTCCCTTCACTGCCCTTCTGCTAACCGAAACATTACTTTGCTGAGTAATTACAGTGGAAATGAGAAAAAGAGTTAAGCAGGATGCTCTTAAGGCTATGAGGAAGAGAGGCAGCTCCCAAAATAAAATAATGAACCAAAAGATCTGGATGGTTGATAATAGGCAATACAGCAACACCTCACTTCTCTGGCGACCTCACCTATCTGGAAACCTGAGCAGCCTGAGACATCGCAAAGTTCCTGCACTATATCTCATACTTCCCATTCTAAGCTTGTTGACTATAACTTTCCCAGCCCACAACCTATTGGAAAATTAAAGAGGAACTGCTAAAGGCAAACCCACTATCCACTGAGAGCAAAGGAAAAAAGAAAAATTTGGAAAAATAGTTATTTGGTGCAGTGACAAAAGCCAAACACATGCCTGAGTTATCACAGCTGAGTAATGGTAGTGTGATAACGAAAAGGTTAAATGAAAGTCCTTGTCCATTACTTTAAAAGGCAGGAGTAGATATAATCCAACAGACAGGTTTCTGTCTAAATTGGTTATGTCTTGGCTCTTAAAAGGGTTTGCTTAATTTATAAATCCCCCAACTATGCTAGATAAAGGACGCCTTTCTGCATTTGCTGATAATAAGTCAGGGAAATGGGAGGGATACCTGCCGGGGAGAGCTTGTCCCTCCTCTGGGATACTTGGCCTGTGTCTTTCCCCTGTGCCAGCCCCCATCCCTGGCTTGGGGCTCTGCGGAGTTCAGCCCAGCCCCCCGCTTCCAGTGACCTGGTCTCCTCTCTCCCTCACCTGCCCGCCTCGCCCAGCCTGGGCTCTTGGTGGGGGTCCCTGGAATGGTGAAGGGGCTACATGAAGCTCACCAGCTCTATGGCAGGTAAAGACCCTCCCTCTGGGGACCAGGGGCCCCTGCCTGCATCTCTCCTTGGGTGGCCGTCTCCTACCTTCCTTGGATTCTTTCCTTCCCAACTCCACCTCCTAATATCCCCTTCCCTTGCCAGGACTCTCCTTCCCAGGAACCCCCTTGCTCTTCCAGTCTCTGGGTTTTCCCTAATCAGGGATTTAAGTTTCCCCCAGGACCCCTCCTCCTCCCCCCAGGACCTTCTCCACCCCCTGCTCTCCGGCCCCCCCAGGCTGCCATGGTCCCAAGTCCTGGCCTTCGCAGCAGCTGTGGCCCAAGATGGCTTCAACGTGACCCATGATCTAGGTCAGTGGGGCCTGGGGGTTGGGGGGAAGGCATGAGGTTGATGGGAAGGGGAGAAGGAACCTCTGAGATTTGGGGCCCAAGCCAAAAAGCACCTCTCTTCCAGTTTGCTCCTTTGGCTCCCTCCCCACCCATCCTACTCTCACAGGGATGCAGCCTCAAATGAGGGGATCTGGGAAGGGCCCATATACACCCCCCCCACACACCTTCCCCATAACAGGCTTCTGGGGGGCCAGAACTATTAGGGCCAGCCAGTCAGCCACTTCATCTATGGTGCATCTCAGCCCCTAGCCCAGCCTCCTGTCCCTGCTTGCAGCCCGAGCCCTGGCCGAACAGCCTCCGCCCAATGCATCTGAGCGTTTCCGTGAGACATTCCTGCCATTGGGCCACCCGCCACTACCTGGCTCACTGCTGCGTCGGCCTGACCTGGCTGCAGTGCTGGATGTGCTGGGCACCTCTGGCCCCACCGCCTTCTACGCAGGAGGCAATCTTACACTGGAGATGGTGGCTGAGGTGAGCATGTGGGGAGCTCCCCTTGCCCTGAAGGACCCTACTGCAGGAGTATTCTTCCCCTTCCTTCCTTCTCGGTCTTTCTTTCTACATATATTTACTGAGGATTCCATTTACTTGAGATTGTAGAATAGACAAAACCAATCTCTGGTGGTAGAAATCAGATTAGTGGTTGTTTGGGGTGAGAGCAGTTAACTGGGATGCAGCACAAAGAACCCCCTGGGATGAGAGAACTGTTCTGTCTTGATTGAAAGAGGTACCTTTGGGCCCTCCAGGGCTGGTGCCAACCTGTGCAGAGTCTTGTCCTGTCCCTCCCAGGCCTGGTGGAGACTCAGGATCAGCCTCAGCTTCCCTGAGCCCTCAAGCTCACCCTGCTCTTGGGTTTTCTAGGGACTGAGGGAAACCCCTCCTTCACTGGTGACTATCAGGACTTACCAACCAACAGAGACTCTTAGTCTGAGGCAGTAATGGGTTCTGAGAACTATTGTCAGTAGTTAAAAACTCCTAATGGAAAATTATGTTCAAGATGAGGATACACACCAACTCTGTGATTCTGTCATCTGTACCGTTGGAGTGATTATATGTATCTCTGCCATATAGTTATGGGAACTGAATAGATGTGTCATTCATTCTACATTCATAGAATGCCTGTTCTGCGTCAGACCCTGTGCTGGGCACTGGAGGTATGGTTATATGATAGACGCCCATCTCAAATGGACTTAACTGGGAAGTCCAGCAGAATACTGGCTTTAGGTCTGCTGGGTCCACAGCTCCATCTACATTGTCAGGCCTTGGTCTGTCTGTCTCTCTGTCATGACTCTACTTCTGTTTGAATTCACTCTCTGTCAGATCCTTTCCATACCTACTCCTCACCAGCCATCCTTCCAGCAAACCATCCCAGAGAAAGAGCATTTCTCATTCCAACAGTTAAAGCAAAAACCTCCAGCTTGTATCTCATTGGCCTATCATAGGTCTCATGATTATTCCCAAACCAGTCACTGGCATGGAAAAGGAATGCTCTGATTAGCCAGACCTGGATATACTGGAGAAGGGGATGAAGGAGACTCTAACAAAGACCATCAGAGCTTTAAAAGAAAAAAACACCAAAGTTGAGTTTAAAAATTTGACCAACAAAGGAACACATATGATGTGTGTGTCATTCAATGTGTAGAACTTCAGTGTGTAGTTCACCAAGGGTGGATTAAAAGTCAGGGGTTTCAAGTACTAAAACTACAAAGAGAGAGAGAGAGAGAGATTGAGGATTCCTAGTGGTTATGCTAATTTAGGAATGAAAATTACCATGCTGGAAAGGATGGAATGAGCCCATAGGTTTGTTGGTTCATTGGTCAATAGATGCTTGGTTACATCCAATGAGGGTCATTCCTACCAGAATCATCCAGAGTTCATGGTTTTGGAGTAGCTTTAGTTAATTGTAGTGAAATGAAGAATTCAGTTTTGATATCTGTAGGCAAATTCTGCTTTAAGTAGAAAATATTCCTTTAAAAAAAATAATCTCTGCACCCAATGTGGGGCTTGAACTCAGGACCCCAACAAAAGTTGCAGGCTCTACTGACAGAGCCAGCCAAGTACCCCAGAAAATGTTCATTTTATACAGGCAGAGAGGGTAGTATGTGCAAGGCCATGGAGTCATGAATTCAGGAACTGTAGTTCACTCAGATAGCTGTACAGAGGTCACTGGGGAATAGCAGGACATGAGGTGGGAGCATTGGACAGGGGCCAGGTCACAAAGGGCCTTGAATGCCAATCTAAGGAGGTCGTTCATAGAATGTCTGGTACATAGCAGGTGCTCAGTGGTAGTGCTTTTCCCCCTTTCTTTTCCGTAGGGTCCCGAGGGCTAATGAGGTCCATAAAGGCCATGATGGAAATTGCAGAAGGCACAAAAGTTAGAAACATCTGATCTGTCTTTGATTCCAAGCATATACCATAGGCCAAGCCCATATGCTTACACTGTGGAGTGTGGATCACAGCTGTGATGGGGTCATTCTCTCCCCTCTAGGCTCAACATGCAGGGGGTGTCATAACTGAGGAGGACTTCAGCAACTACAGTGTCCTCGTGGAGAATCCTGTGTGTGGCGTCTACAGAGGTGACCTCTCTCCCAGCTCTCAGGGTCCCTGCTCAGGAGAAGCCTCCCAGTCCATGGCCACCTCCTTTTGGCCTAGAGATTCCTCCCCATTTTACAGGAGAGAAACTGAGGCAGTGAGCTGCCTGGCCAGCCAACTGTTGAAGGAAGCCAGAGCCAGCCCACCTTCTGAAGTAGTCATGGGGTCAGTTACCCCAAGTATTTAGGATATGGGGAGGGAGGTCTGGCCAAAAGTTCAGGCCTGGAAGTTGGGGTTCTGGCCATAAGTTTTCTTGATTTGGGCTCTATGTTGCCTCAGCCCCACTCTCACTGTTGTGTACTTCCTAAGAAGAATTCATAAGGCCAGAGTCCATCTAAATTCATATTGAACAAACCTTTGAAGACAATTATAAACCTGTTCCCTCATTGTGTCAAAAGGAAACTGAGGCCCAGGGACAGAATGGAACTTAACCTGCCAAACTCAAAACTAGAGGAATCCCAAAAGCCAAGCCTATGATGTGGATGAAATCCATGTTTGCTGAACCCAAAGTGGTGGTTTCCTGGGTCCCTCAGAAGGTTCTCAGGTTCTCTCCCCTCCTGGAGGTCTGGATCACCTTGAACCCCAGGAGGGGCTACCTCTGAGTTCAGGTTTCCAGGCCTCAATTTCTAGCCTGATTCTTCTACCAGAGGTGGTAGTGTATGAAGACCTGGGTTTGAGTACTAGCTGTCCCATTCACCTTGAACAAGTCACTTCCCACTGTGAGCTGTGGTTCCCTCCTAAAAATGGAGATAGTACCCTTGAGGGGTGCCCATGAAGATTTGATGAGGTGTTATCAGAAGCTGCCCTGATCAGAATGGATGCTGAATTCTTATTTGATTTTACAAATCCCCTCCCCAGCCTGGGTTCTCTTGCCAATGCCAGTACCTTGAGATTGTCTCCTACAAACTTGGACCAGCTGCCTCTCTGTGCCTCCGTTTCCTCACCTGTAAAATGAGGATGATAACATTACCCATTGTGGGGGTTAAATGAGTTAATCAGTTAATGTTATATGTCAGGTATTATCATTATTCTTTTGATGTCCAAACATCTAATAACAGGGGCCTCAAATAGGAAGAGGAGATTGCTGCTCCCAAGAAGTTTTAGGGGTGGGACCATGATGGGCCCTGAATAGTATCCTGGTCTGTGGGAGGAGCTAAAAGGAGTTCTGGACATCTGGACACCTGTCCCTGCTCTGCCTGCAATGTGCCTCTGGGCAGACTACCGTTCTCTTGAGCCTTAGTTTCCTTGTGCAGAAGAGGAAACTGAAGACCAGTGTTCTGAGTTGGAGTCCTGGCCCTGCCCTTGACTTGCCATGTGAACTTGTGTGGGTCCCTTTGCCTCTCAATACTTTGCCTCTCAGCACAGTTTCCTGTCTGATGAGGAGTTCAGTGCAGGGGTCTCAGCCTACGTGATGGTGGGATATGGAGATGCCTTGACCCCTCCCCTGCCATCTGGTCATTTCCATTTTTTTTCCAGGCCACCTGGTTCTCAGTCCCCCACCCCCGCATACAGGGCCTGCCCTCATCAGTGCTCTCAACATCCTTGAAGGCTTCAATCTTACCACCCTGGTGTCCCGGGAACAGGCTCTTCACTGGGTGGCAGAGGCAAGGCCGACCCCTCCACCCTGCCCTGGGTCTTGGTACACTGGGAGTGGGGGGATGGGTTACTGCCGTGGGGCAGGACTAAATCACCTCCAGGTTTTCTCACATGAGGATCAAAAGTGTGGGTCCTGGGAGGAGCCTGGCAGCCTCTTCCACACCCCTATTATATTTTCAGACCCTGAAGATTGCATTAGCCCTGGCCAGCAGACTGGGAGATCCTGTCTACGATTCTACCATCACTGAGAGCATGGATGACATGCTCAGGTGGGTCCCAGGGCAGGACCCTCAGGGCTGCAGAAGTGGTGGTGGATGTGAGGAAAGGATCAGATGAAAAGCAACTGGTAAAGCAAGAAGACCTGGAGTCCCAAGTCAATTTTAGCTCAGCTCCAACTCATAGTGTGACACTGGTTGCCTCACCCTGCACCTACCTCAGTTTCCCCATCTGTACAATGAGTTGGCCCTCAAAACTTTTTTTACCCTAGCAGGGCACCTATTGGGGCCCATCTGGGCCCCCTTTGGAGTGGAAAAAGAAAGCCTAATAACAATGAAAAATCTCCAAACAATTACTGGAGGTGATGGGAATTTTTACATTATACATACATTATACACTATAATGTATCCACATTAGCAACATAATATTGTAAGACTGTGGGTCCTGGTCAGACTGACTCAGTTCAAATCCCAACTTCACCATTCACTAGCTGTACAGGATTGGACAAATTTAAATTCTGTAAGTCTGTTTCCACAAGGGGGCCTGACAATAATGGTGCCAACCTCATGAGGTTGTGGTACAGATTAAATAAGGTCATACATGCAAAGCACTGAGCACATTGTCTGGCACATAATAAGTATTCAACAAATATTAGTAGTAGTAACCGGGAATATGAGTGGGTAAGAACGGTTACTATTTAATTGCTGCTATACCTGACCAAAAGGCTAGCTAAGGAAAAAACCAGAGACCAAAAATATACTTAACATAAATTTGTTTTATTACTCAAACAACTCTATGAATTAAGTTGGAAACAATGAAACTAAATGAATAGCTTATAATTAAAAAGCAAAAAGAGCAGCAACCAAAATCAATAAGCAGTTCAAAGCAATAAGAGTGAAGTCTAAAAACAAAGCCTCTCGGGCTTGGGTGGCTTAGGCCGGGTTGGGGCCCCGGACCAGCCAGGGTCACGATCTGGCTAAGTCCGTGAGTTCAGCCCCACACAGGGTTCTGGGCTGATGGCTCAGAGCCTGAGCCTGCTCCACCCCAGGTCTCCTCTCTGCCCCTCCCTGCTCTGGTTTGGTCTCTCTGTCCCAAAAATAAATAAACGTTGAAAAAAAAAAAATTTTTAAAAAAATAAAAAAATAAAAACAAAGCCTCTCTCCCCTCACCCAATCCACCTGAAACAAAGCCCTCTCTGCCTCTTCTGTGTGGCCACCAGCCTTTATGGTTGAAAACTGAATGAAAATCTTTAATAATCCTTAGTAACTTGTCATTCTCTAATCAACTACAATAACCAAACCAACAGTTATTAAGTAAGAAACCCTCTCTCAAACTTTAAAAAGTCTGGAAATCTCGTATGTTGTTTTCACCTAGCTCTAACACACACACACACACACACACACACACACACACACACACACCCATATTAAACTATCTGGCAATTTCATCCAATAAATAGTTACTAAGGGTTTATATACCAAGTCTTCCCCCACAAAATTCTAATAGTAACTAAAGATCCCTGTATATAAAACTCTCCTCTGATTAAACTCTTTTTTTTTTATTATTTTTTTTTTTAAATTTTTTTTTTCAAGGTTTATTTATTTTTGGGACAGAGAGAGACAGAGCATGAACGGGAGGGGCAGAGAGGGGTTATCACAGGAATCGAAACAGGCTCCAGGCCTGAGCCATCAGCCCGTATCTCTAATGGGCCTCAATGACCGCGGGAGACCGCACCCGGCTGAAGCCTGAACACCGCTCACCCGTACCTGACTAAACTTCAAAACTTCAGTTCCAAACTAAAAACATTAGATTAAATGAATTGTTTGTTCATTCGAAACAAATATGTGAGCATCCACTATGCCCCAGGTACTTTCAAGAGGAGGATTAACTGAGTAAATGAAGTCAAGTAACTAAAAGACTCTTGGTTTAAGCACTAAATAAAAGTTGGCTCTAGGAGGGAATCTGAATGACACCTAAATAAATTCAGTCAGTCCAATAACACTTTCCTGGTTCAGAATAAGTTCAGAATATGTTCAGAATAAGAGATTCTGCTCTCATAGACCTAATAGTCCAGTGGGGGAGGCAGACATTAATCAAATAATTGCACAAACAGGCATCACAATGTGGTAGGTGGGGTGTAATGAGAGCCTGCTGTGTATTCATCTCCTGCCCCTTGTCTTTTCAGCAAGGTGGAAGCTGCGTACCTCCGGGGCCACATCAATGACTCCCAGGCGGCTCCTGCTCCACTCCTGCCTGTCTACGAGCTGGATGGGGCTCCCACGGCTGCCCAGGTGCTGATCATGGGCCCTGATGACTTTATCGTGGCCATGGTCAGGTATGCCAGCTCAGACTCAGAACCTGGCACTGGGGATCGTCTGGACCAGGAAGGGTTGGGGGCTGGATGGGGGTGAGGGCGGCCTCAGGGCTCACCTGGCCCAACCTCCACCCCCAGCTCCCTGAACCGGCCCTTTGGCAGTGGCCTCATCACTCCCTCGGGGATCCTGCTCAACAGCCAGATGCTAGACTTCTCCTGGCCCAACAGGACTGCTAACCACTCTGCTCCCAGCCTGGTAGGGCCTTGCTTCCCTCCTCCCCTGAGAACCTTGAGGCTAGGTAGAAAGTGTAGCAGTATGACTGTGCCTCCTTCCCTACTTCCTCTAGGAACTTCTACTATAAAGGAACCCAAAACAAGGTGTCCACTTCATTCCCAGCCCAAGTCTGGGGCTTGGAGCCTGGTGGGCCTGAAGAAACTTCATCCCATTCTGTCCTTGTCTCACTATATGACCTAGGGAAAGTCTTGCCCCCTTTCTTGGCCTCAGTTTCTTCATCTGTACAATAAGGATATTAGCCCCCATTTGATTCTTTGGCACTTTTCAGCACAATGGTCTACAATTGTGGGATGCTGAGCTGATGGGGCTCAGCCCTCTTGTTGGTCAAAAGAGGAAAGAGATAGGAATTATGGTCTAGTTGGAGGCTAGTATTCTTACATCCTGTGAGCTGGGGCCCTGGCAGGATGAAGACAGATAGAGATGACCAGGGTGTAGATTATCGTGTTCTTCCTCTTGGCCATCTTTCTTGGCTTGGTCCCCTCCCTTGCCACCCATCGTAGCTCCATAGCAATTCAGTGGGGCCATGATCCACCTTAGTTATCCAGGAACCCTGCCCATTTCACAGACAGCAAACTGTGGCCTGGGAAGGGACCAGTCCCCCATGAAAACTTACCCCACCTCTTATCCCCCTGTGGTCTCGGTCCTCTGACACAGGAGAATTCGGTGCAGCCAGGGAAGCGACCACTGTCTTTCCTGCTGCCCACTGTGGTCCGGCCGGCAGAGGGGCTCTGTGGGACCTACCTCGCACTGGGGGCCAATGGAGCTGCCCGGGGCCTCAGCAGCCTGACCCAGGTGAGGTTTCCTCCATGGTAGGCCCTTTGTGGCCAGCAGCCAAGCTGTGGCCTGGACTGTAGATGTGCCTCATGTCTCTGTCTTGTTCTCATCCCTAGCTCAGCAAACATAGGCCAAGGCTGCTTTGTAACAAGTTCATCCTGGATACTAGGGACATAGGCTATGCTGAGTTACTTAGCCAAAATGGAGCCCTGAAGCTCCCTGTCTTCCAGGTTGCATAGAAAATCATGGGCCAGTGGAACTGAAAGGTGATATAGCATCTGGGCTGCCTAGGTTCTGTCAACCTCAAGTCCCATGATGCCTCTACTCAGCATCTGAAGAGATAAGCAACTCTCTTTAGGGTCTGATTTTGAAAGGAAGGACCTAAAGTTCTCCAAAATGTCTCACAACAGTTACACAGATGTTTTAAGCACCTGATATATATGCCAGGCACATACTTTGGCAGGTAGTGAGTTAATTAGCCTGAGCTTTGGAAGCAGACAGCCCTGGGCCCCAGTCCAAGTGCTGCCAATTTCTAACTGTGTGATCTCCGGGAATTCACTTAACCTCTCTGAACCTCAGTCTCCTCATATGTAAAATGAAGATAATAACAAGAGAAAACATTTATGGAATTCTTACTAAGTGCCAGGAATGGTGTTACATGTGTTAATTCTTTTAGCCTTCTCAACTTTGGAAGGAATCCTTATTTCTACTTTGTATATGAGGAAACTAAGACCCAGAGGAGTTAAGAAGTTAGGTCCAGTTTACTAAGAATGGGCAGGCAGTTTGGTTTGAGAGCCTACCCACACAACCACTAAGCTAAAAGTACTCACATTGTGCCCTAGACTATCCCCAGCTATTAACCCTGTCCTGGCCAGGGAAAAGGGAGGAGAGCCCTGGGCTGGATTATAGGAGACTGACTGCTAGTGGTGCCTCTTCCTTGGCTCTCTCTAAACTCTGGAGTGAGTTACTTTCCCTTTCTGGCCCTCAGTTTCCCCCTCTTTGAAATGGGGATGGCCATCACAGCCCTGCCTCTCTTCTGAGGCTGTTCGGATGACACCCCTAGTGTAAGGTTTCTAACTAGAAGTCCAGCTAAGGAGTGAGACCTGGGGAGTCCTGAATCCCCATCTCTGGGGCAGCCCTGACTTCTATCTCTTGGCTGCCCACAGGTTTTGCTGAATGTCCTGACCTTGAACCGGAACCTGAGTGACAGCCTGGCTCATGGCCGTCTGCATCCAGACCTGCAGTCTAACCTTCTGCAGGTGGACAGTGAGTGCACAGCAGAGATCCCCAGGGGGTGGGCAAGGAGCTGGGTGGAGAAGGGGTCTCCTCCCAAGGGTTCCCCCACCTATACCAGCATAACTCCCTGCCAGTGAAAGTTTGGTTTCTTCCAATGAACTCCTTTGAAACAGTGAAAGATCTGTGGATTGGAACCAGTTCTGTCATTTCCGGGCTGTGCAGCCTTGGGAAATGCATGTCTCCACTCTGAGCCTCAGTTTCCTCATTTGTAAAATAAGATACAGTTGTTCAGTCTGCAAACCATTCATTCAGTAGTTTGTATTGAATACCTACTGTGTGCCAGGCATTATGCTCAGGATACAGCATTTACAGGCAGACAGGAAAAGAAATAATCAAAGAAATATGAGAAAGCAAAATAAATGCTCTGTGGGCTGACATATAGGACTGATTTGATAACTTGAGAAGGCTTCTCTTGGGTGACATTTCAGCTGAGATCTGAAGAGTAAGAAGGAGCCCCACCATGCAAAGAACAGGGGCGGGTTTTGTAGGCCAAGGGAACAGATGCAATTCAGGGCAGGAGTGGGCTCAGCATGTCTTAGGAGTAGAAAGGAGACTGGGGTAAGTGCAACTGATGTGAGGTCAGAGAGGCAGGTAGAGGCCACATCATGGACCTTATAGGTTACGGTGAGAAAATGGACTTTCCTTTAAGAATGACTGGGGCTTAATTGTAGACACAGCTTATTTTTTGTTGTTGTTTTTGTTTTTAATTTTTTTAATGTTTATTTTTGAAGGAGAGAGAGAGAGAAACCAAGTGTGAGTGGGGGAGGAGCAGAGAGATAGGGAGACACAGAATCCGAAGTGGGGTCCAAGCTCTGAGCTGTCAGCACAGAGCCTGATGGGGGACTCAAACCCACAAGCTATGAGATCATGACCTGAGCTGAAGTCAGACACTCAACCTACTGAGATACCCAGGCGCCCAAACATAGCTTAATTTTGTAAGTGGGAAAGTATGTGCAGGTTTGAGGAGTTTTTATTACAACAGACAATGTATTATACAAGTCCAAAAGGGATAGAGTATTGAATGAGACATGGTCCTTGCCTGCATGGTATTATCATCCCCATTTTACAGATAAAGAAACTGAGGCCCACAGAGGTTATAAAGTAGTCAAAGATCAGCAGTGACAGAATTGAGATTAGAATATATACGTGGCTGATAACAAAGACTCTGTTCTTTACTGCCTGTCTCCTAGAGTGAAGCACATTAGAAGCCACAGACCTAAATCCTCAGCAGTCACAGCCTGTGGTTTGGCTGGTGACACTCTGGATCCCAAATGATGATAATGAGGCTATCCCAACTAATAACTTCTGGTGTCTATTGAATGTGAGGCTGTACACTAAGTTACTTGGTGGGGGGGGGGGGTTGGTTCATCCTACCCACCCTTGAGAGGCTTATGGTCTATGACAGGAACATGAGGAGTAGGCTTGGCCAAAGGAAAGTTCATCCACTGGGGTTTCTGGGAGGCTTTATGGAGGAGGTGACAACTGACTGGGCATTGGAGTAGGAGCAGGAATTTGGCATGTAAGGGTAAAGAACCTTCTGGACAAATGGGCAAAAGCCAGAAAGAATGGTTCAGAGAGCAGCCAGGAGGCCTGCTGGACTAGAGACATTGTTTCCTAAACTTAAGAATTTATCCAGCACCTTCTTGAATTTTGCCATATTTGTACACCATCTAAACCATTATTTACATATGCGTATCTATACATGTACTTCTTTTTCAGTGTAAGTGTATTTTAAAGGTAAATCTCATATCATAATCACAATTGGAAAAAATAACATCATTTGCCACAAATAAAAGGTAAATAGCTATAAAAAGTCAACTGTTTTTAGATTTTAGGTGGATATTGTTGCCCCAGAAGGCATTGTAGAGATGTTAGAGGCTGAAATATGGAGAACAAACATAGGGTTACTGGAGGGGTTGTGGGAGGGGGAATGGGCTAAATGGGTAGGGGACATTAGGGAATCTACTCCTGAAATTGTTGCACTATATGCTAATTTGGATGTAAATTAAAAAAATAAAATTTAAAAAAAAAAGTGTTAGAGGCCAGGAGCTCCTCAGTGGCTCAGTCGGCTAAGTGTCCAACTTCAGCTCAGGTCATGATCTCGTGGTTCATGGATTCGAGCTCCGCATCAGGCTCTGTGCTGACAGCTCAACAGAGCCTGGAGCCTGCTTCAAAGTCTGTGTCTCCCTCTCTCTCTGCCCTTCCCCCGCTCGCACTCTGTCTCAAAAATAAACAAACATTGAAAAACAAAAAGAAATGTTAGAGGCCATACTAAAACTTAGTCCTTGCCATTATCCAAAGGATTAAAAGGGACCCATAAAGGAAATACATTTCTGACTCAGTGATTCAATGCTATTCGGTGTTGTATCTTTACCTCAAGAACTACCCTAGATTATCCCATTTGAGGAAATAAGAAAACCATATCTTTGTTGAGGAGCCGTAGTAGGTGAGGTTACAGGGCTTATCATGGAGGTCCATGTTAAGAAGCATGGTTTCCATCCACTTGAGTAGAGTTGGGATAGACCTGATATGTTTTACGTAGGGGAAATGGATTGAAGAGGGGAGAATTTAAGTTGGAGAAACAGAAACAACTAGGATAATGGGCCAGGCAAGAGATGGTGAGGACCTGAACTTATGTAAGAGGGTGGGGATTTCTTCATTTATCCAGTAAATACTTTAACATTTTCTATGTCTTCACCCAGTTCTAGGCACTGAAGATCAATAGTGAACAAGACAACATCCTTGACTTCAAAAAGCTTATAATCTAATGGAGAGAGGCATAGTGAACAAACAAACAAACAAACAAACAGGTAGCAATAAGCACTTTGAAAGAAAATAAAGCAAGGTAAAGATGACAGGGCTGCTACTTTAGATAGCGGTCAGGTAAGTTCTCCTTGAAGATTGGAATGAAGTAAGGAAGCCAGTCTCATGACTATCTAGGAGGAGAACATTCTAGACAAATAGAACAGCAAGTGCAAAGCCCTGAGGTAGGAGCATGTTTGGCCTACCTGAGGGCAGCAAGGAGGCTAAAGCAGAGGTAAGCAAGGGAGAGAGTAGAAAGAAGTGAGGACAAGAGTTTAGAGAGGTAGTGAGGTCCCAGATGATGTTGTGCCTTAGAGGCCCTGGTAAGGACTTTGGATTTTATTCTAAGAGTCATCAAAGCTATTGGAAGTTTTGAGAAGGGGAGGTGAGTGGTCTAATGGTTTAAAAGGATTCCATTTACCTGTATGAAAGCAGGACTGGAACCAGCCAGTCAGTGGGCTATGCAGTAATGGCTGCATCCTGGCTATCCTGGCAAGTGATGATGGCAGCTTGGCCTAGGCCGCTAGAGATGAAGAGCTCAAAGCCCTTTGTGCAATGTTAAGAATGACCGTATGTTATCGATCACATACTATATGCAAGGCTCTGAGCTCTGTGCTTTCTGTGTATTATCTCCTTTAATCCCTATGACAACGTTGTGTGTTGTTTTCATATAATCCGTATTTTATCCATGAGGAGGCTGAGGCTCAGAGAGGTAAAGCAATTTGCCCAAGGTCACGCAGCTCCTCAGTGGGGCATCCAGGACCACGACTCGGGTCTGACCACAGGACTCCTGCGCCAGTGCTCTGAACACTCTGAATGTGTATATGTTGGGGGGTGGTTTTCAGGTGAGTTCACAGAGGAAGAGATTGAGTTCCTGGAAGCCAGGGGTCACCATGTGGAGAAGGTAGATGTCTTATCCTGGGTCCATGGCAGCCGGAGAACCAACAACTTCATCATTGGTGTGAAAGACCCTCGGAGCCCAGACGCAGCTGGAGCCACCATCCTGTAGAGCATCAGGGTGGGGTGGGGGTCTCTGCTCCCCACCTTTGCATGTTCTTAGAGTCCCTCCTTCTCCCAGGTTTGGTCTCAGGGGAACCCCAGGGATGCCCCAGATCATGGGCCAGAGGGGATGCTTAACAAACCCTATCCGAGAGTAACTGGAAAATTCTCTATCCAGAGGCCTGTGGTGGTGGTGGTGGCGGTGGTGGTGGTGAGTGTCAGTGTCCACAACCAGGCAGACAGGGCCTTGAGGAGTCAGACTGTCTGCCTCCTTTCCTTCAGCCATGCTGGCCCAGAGCTTAGGGATGTGCTTGCAAAACCTTCTCAAGGGTCCTCACAACCCCAACATCTCCAATCTGGCCTGACCTGGACCTTGTCTTCCAGCTCCCTTCTCCTGTCCCCAGCCTCATTTCTTAAATAACTAGGATTTTTTAAATGGACCATCCTGGGGAGGGGGTGCTCCTCTCTTCCTCCCACCAAGTTGAGGTGGGGCCTTGCATCTGGGGGTTCCCAGGTTGTGGGTAGGGGTGGGGGTGGGGACCAGCTCAGGGGCTTCTATTTGCAAAGGGGAATTAAAGAAGACTATTGCTTAACCATGGCTCTTGATTGATTTATATTTGGCTATGTTGGGAGTGGGAGAAAGTGAAATAGTACAAAAGCAGCTACAGCAATTTGTTTACTATTTGTTTCCTAAATTAGATATTTTGGGTATTTCCTTCATATCTTGGTTAAGATATGAAGCTTCCTGATTTAAAAACTTACTACAGGGGTGCCTGGCTGGCTCAGTCAGTAGAGCATGTGACTCTTGATCTCAAGGTCATGAGTTTGAGCCCCATAATGGGCCTAGAGCCTACTTAAAAATAAACAAATAAATAAATGTGTTTTTTTTTTAAGTGAAAAAAACATACTACAAAGTTAACAGTAATCAAAATAGTGTGGTACTGACATGAGGCTGGACATAATTGGAATAGAATTGAAAGTCTAGAAATAAACCTATATATCTATGATCAATTGATTCTTTTAATTTTTATTTTTTTGTTTTTGGAGAAAGAGAGAATGAGCAGGGAAGGGGACAAAGGGAAAGAGAGAATCTTAAATAGGGCCCATGCTCAGTGTAGAGCCTGATGCGGGGCTTGATCCCAAGACCCTGGGATATGACCTGAGCTGAAATCAAGAGTTGGATGCTCGGGGCACCTGGGTGTCTCAGTCGGTTGAGCTTCCGACTTCGGCTCAGGTCATGATCGCACGGTCTGTGAGTTTGAGCCCCGCGTCGGGCTCTGTGCTGACAGCTCGGAGCCTGGAGCCTGCTTTGGATTCTGTGTCTCCCTCTCTCTCTGCCCCTGCCCTGCTCATGCTCTGTCTCTCTCTGTCTCAAAAATAAATAAAAACATTTAAAAAAATTAGAAAAAAAAAAAAAGAATTGGATGCTCAACTGACTGAGCCACCCAGGTGGCCCTATGATCAACTGAATTTTTGACAAGTGTGCCAAGATCGTTCAATGGACAAAGAATAATCTTTTCAACAAACAGTGCTAGTGCAATTGAATATCCACATGCAAAAGAATGAAGTTTGACCTTTACCCCATGTCACATATAAATAGTAACTCACAATGGATCAAAGACCTAAATATAAAAGCAAAAAACAGACAAGTCTTAGAAACATAGGAGTAAATCCTGATGACTTGGATTTGGCCATGATTCTTAGATATGACACCAAAAGCACAAGCAACAAAAGAAAAAAATAGATACATTGAAATGCATCAAAATTAAGAACTTTTCAGCATCAAAGGATAGTACCAAGAGAGTGAAAAGACAACCCCCAAAATGAGAGAAATATTTGCAATCATAGATCTGATAAAGGTCTAGTCCCCAGAATATATAAAGCACACTTCCAGTTCAACAACCCAGTGAAAAGTTGGGCAAAGAACTTGACCAGACATTTCTCTAAGGAAGATATTCAAATGGCCAATAAGTTCATGATAAGATGTTCAATATAAGTCACTAGGGAAATTCAGATCAAAACCACAATGAAATACCACTTCATGCTCACTAGGTTGGCTATAATTATAATATTTTTAAAATCATTTTTTAAAAAGGAAGTAAGTGTTGGTGAGGATATGGAGAAATTGGAACCTTCATATTTTACTAGTGAGAATGTAAAGGTGCAGCTGCTGTGGAAAACAGTGTGGCATTTCTTTAATAATTAGAATTACCATATGACCCAGCAATTCCACTCCCAGATATATGCCCCAAAGAATTGAAAACAGGTGTTCAAACAAAAATTTGTGCATGAATGTTCATAGCAGCATTATTCACAAAAGGCAAAAGGTGAAAACAACCCAAATGTCCAGCAATGGATGAATAGGTAACACAAATGTGGTATATTCATATGATGGAATATTATTCAGCCATAAAAAGGAATGAAATCTGATACATGCTACAACATGAATGAACCTTGAAAACATGCTGAGTAAAAGAAGCCAAACACAAAAGGTCACATATTGTGACCAATATTTATATGAAATATCCAGAATAGGCAAATCTATAGAGATGGAAGGCAAATTAGGGGTTGCTTAAGGATAGGGGAATGGGGCCTTGGGAAGAGGACAATATCTAAATGGTACAGATTTTCTTTCTGAGGTGACATAAATATTCTAAAAATTGACTGTGGTGATGGTTGCATCTGTGACTATACTAAAAAGCATTGAATTGTATGCTTTAAATGAGCGGATTGTTTGGTATGTGAATTATATCTCAATAAAACAGTTTTTAAAAAACATGAATTGGCAATATACACTAGGGCTGAACATGTAAATTCTATGACCCAGCAATCCTAGTCCTAGGTATATATCCAGCAGAAAATTGTACACATGTTCATCCAAAGATGTATAAGAATATTCAGAGTAGTACTTAAAAAAATTGACCTGAAGTAGAATTTCACCACCAGTAGAATGGATAAATTATGATATACTCAAATAATAAAATGAAAGGGACAGCAATGAAAAGGACAAACCCCAACCATAGGCAATAATATAGATGAATCTCAAAAACATAAAATTGAACATAAGAAACCAGACTCAAAAGAGTACACTGTATACGATTTCGTGTATATAAAGTTTAACACCTGGAGTGCCTCATCTGTGGAATTAGGTATTGGTTTACTGTTTACACTCAGAGGCATGGGTAATGATTAGAAAGGGAGCTTTTGTGGAGCTGGTAATGTTCTACTTGTTGGTTTAGGTGTTGGGTAGACAAGTGTTGTTCATTTTGTGAAAATGCATCAGGATTTACACTTATGACTTGTGTATTTTTATGTTTTTATGTTATACTCTAATAATTTCAGAATACTTTTAAAAATAGGTTTTTAAGTCCTAAGAATATTTCTCTCTTTTTGGTCACTTCTTGATACTCTTTGATTTTTTTCAATTTTGTAGTTATCACTCTATTTCTATTTTCAATGTTTTTTTCCTAATAGCAAGCCATTGCTTGCCCATATCAAGCCTTTATGCAAAGTAGAAGTGACTCCTCTTCAAGGGACCTTTATTTCTGGTTGTCTGAAATTGTTGAGCTGATTTTGTAGTAACAAGGCACTTTACTGCCATCTACTGGTAAATTATCACAATAAAGTTATAAATTACAGTGTTAACCAGTGGCCAACACCCACTTAGATGTGATGTCCTCTTGCAAGACACAACTTGCTCAACTGAGTGTGGTAACGTTGTTTGGCACTGTTGTGACGAACCCCGCAGACAGTAGAATGTTGACATTCTCTAGGTGGTTTTGTTCTTTTTATTCCTGTTTGATATTGTTCTTAAAGACATGGTTGAAGTATTCACTGCGAAAGCTTAAGCCACTTGGACTAAAATGTGAAAGCAAAAGTTCAATAAATGCTAATCAATCTGTTCATATCAAAGAACCATTGATTTGCTCTTGCTTTACCCAAGTCTGAATCCAGAACAATCCTGGATGTCATAGGATTGCTTTTCTTGCTCAAAACATTCTGTGAAACAGTCTTGCATCCTCTCCAGAGGCCTCTGAATCTGGAACCTGTTGAAGCTATCATAAGTCCTAGGTAGTCTTCAGAACATTTTATATCTACTAATTCATTTAATCATCGACTCCTCATCTATAAGGTGCCCTTATTATCTGCATCTTACAGATGAGGCAACTGAAGTACAAAAAAGTTAATTTATATTACAAGTTGTGATATTACAAAAATACCTTCTTTGAGGAGCTTATGGTCTATTAGGGACACAAAACAAAATAAAAATGCCATGTAAGGCTTAAGAAACAAAGGAGAAAATACTTTGGACCCTGTTGGAAAAGACATTTTACTCCTTTTGGTCCCAGTTTCCTCATCTGTATAACAAGAAGGTTGAATTTTCCCAAGGTCACATAGCTAATAAATGCCAGCTGATTTTGTAGTAACAAGTATTGGGTATTTTGGTTTCAGAGCCCAAACTTGTGATCACTGTGCTATACTTAGTGCCAGTTCATGGCCTGTTTCTGTCCCTTTGCTAACTACCTGTGGGCAACAAATACTTATGTTGCCCATGCTTCTATTTTCACCTGCAGGATAGGTAGGTGCCCAAGTGGGTCTCTGGATCCTACCTCCCTGAATACTTGCTAACCTCAGGAAAACTTAGAACCTTCAGTTTAAGGACATGGAAAAAAAGGTAAAAATGAGGATAGTGGCTCAGATTCTGGAATGTTTTTTTTTTTTTTTTTTTTTGATTGTGGTAAAATACATAACAATTTTCACCATTTTAATTATTTTTTTTTAATTTTTTTTTTTAAATTTTTTTTTCAACGTTTATTTATTTTTGGGACAGAGAGAGACAGAGCATGAACGGGGGAGGGGCAGAGAGAGAGGGAGACACAGAATCGGAAACAGGCTCCAGGCTCTGAGCCATCAGCCCAGAGCCTGACGCGGGGCTCGAACCCACGGACCGTGAGATCGTGACCTGGCTGAAGTCGGACGCTTAACCGACTGCGCCACCCAGGTGCCCCT